TGGGGGATGTTGGGGGGTGCAATGGGGAGGTTATGGGCTCTGGAGGGGGTTCTGGGGTCTGAGGGATGGTGGGGGGTGGGGTTCTGGGGTCTTAGGGGGGCTAGTGGGGGGCTATAGGCTGTGGAGGATGTTGGGGGCGTCTGGGGTCAGAAGGGGGGTCTGGGCTGTGCAGTGGGGGCGTTCTGGGCTCTGGGGGGTGCAGTGGAGGTGTCCTGAGCTCTGTGGGCACTGGGGGGGTACCCAGGCTGTCCCCACCGTGTCCCCTCAGCTCCTTCCCCTGCCCAGCCCCTCATTCCCGAGGGCTGGAATGTCGGGAATCCCCCATGCTCCGCAGGGCACGGTAGTGGTGGAGCGCTGGTGGCAGGTGCCCCTGAGCAAGGAAGGGAAGCCGCCCAGGCTGCACCCCCGGCGGCACCGCGTCTACCGCCTGCTCCAGGACTCCAAACACCTGCCCAGGGGCTCCATGGAGCTCCTTCTCACCCAGGCCGTGGAGGGTGAGCCCTTTTCCTGGAATGCTCTTCCGAGGAGTCCCCCTCCTGGGATATTTGGGTATTTGGGCCTGGGTTTATTCTTATCCATGGGGGGAAGAGAAAGAATTCGCTCCCTGTTATGTCCCGTTCCTGGTTATCCAGTGGCACAGGGATCCATCCCTCAGCTGATTTCAGATCTCTGACCCCCCAAACCCAACAATTCTGTGGAATTTTATGTCCGTTTTTTGGATGCCACCTCAGACCTGCATGGCTGGGAATTATTCCAGCATTCCCAGCTTGTATTCCCACATTTTCCTGGCAGACCTGGGCACTCGTGGGGATGTAGTGAGTGTGAAGAAGAGCCTGGGGAGGAACAAGCTCCTTCCCCAGGGATTGGCTGTTTATCCATCCCCAGAAAATCTTCGCATGTTCCAGGAGGAGAAGAAGGTGAGTGGCACCAAAGGGGCTTTTCCAGCCTCTCCAGAACCTTGGAAAAACAGGAAAACTGGGGCAAAGAGCAGGCACTGTGCTTCCAAAGCTCTCTGGGATCAGCCCTGTGTGCCTCCACCCATATTCTTGGGGATTTTTGGGATGAGATCTGCCCGATGCCTCAGGAATGGAATCTCAGCAGGAGCCTTGCTCCGTAAAATATTCCCTACTGGAATAAACCTGGAGGGTTTGGAATGGTAGGAGAACCCTGCAGGCCTGTCAAGCCACCATTCCTTCCTGCATGTCTTCCTCAATCCAAGTTTTTTTCCCACTTGTGTTCTTCAATCCCTGTTTTTTTTTCCATTTTCCCTCCTGACTCCCTGTTTTTTCCTCCTCAGATCCTGTTTTCCTTATTTATGCTCCTCAGTTCCTTTATTCTTTCAAATTTATCCTTCTAAACCCTCGTTTTTTCCCCATTTTTCCTTCTCAGTCCCTATTTTTTCCCACTTACCCTCCTCAATCCCCATTTTTCCCATTTTCCCTTACCAATTCCCATTTTCTCTTGCAGGAAGGGAAGCTGGAAGTTCTCCAAACCCAGAGCGGGGAGAAGGTGAGCAGAGAAATGCATAAATCCTGGAGCCTCTGGGGAATTCCCTTCCTCTGCCTGCGATCCCAAACTCTTCCTGAACCCCCCCCCCCGGGCCTTCCCAGTGGGAACACCGGGAATGCTGGGGCTCTTCTGCTTTTCCAGACCCTCAGATTCCTGCGGAGCTGCCGCCTGGAGGTTGGGATGAAAAACAACGTCAAGTGGGAGCTCAGCCCCGAGATCGTGGCTCGGCACTTCCTCAAGAACGTGAGGAGCCCTTCCTGCCCTTCCCAGTGCCCAAATCCCGGGATTTGGGCTTCCCAGCGGCACTGGGGGCTCAGAAGCAGCTCTGGAATTCTTGGGAGGGATTAAGGGAAGGGATAAAGATGGGCCTGGGTATCTGCCCTTGTCCTGCTGCCCTGCTACCCCTGGGGTAATTCCTGGAATTCTCTGAGTTTTTAGAGTCATGCCTGGGATTGTTTGGGGTCATTCCCGGCATTCCCTGGGGTGATTCCCAGCATTCCCCATTCCAGCTGGGGGTGTTTGTGCCCCCCCACGCACTGAAGCTGCCGGAGGAGCCCATCACGCGCTGGGGGGACTACTGGTGTGACGTCACGGTGAGGGTGGCTCTGGTGGGCACCCCCTGACCCCCCACTGCCCCCTGACACCCCCAGTTCCCCTGGGATTTTGGGGTGGCTCTGGTGCCCCCACAGGTGAACAGGCTGGACACAGTGGGGGGTGTTGGGGTGTCCCAGTGGGTTTGGAGTGTTGGAGTGACCCGGGGGGGTTTTGGGGTGCCCCCATTTCCCTGCAGGTGAGTGGGCTGGACATGGTGGGGGATGTTTAGGGTGTCTCAATGAGTTTGGGGTGACCCCGGGGTTTTTGGGATGCCCCCAGGTGAAGGGGCTGGACACAGTGGGGAGTGTTTAGGGTGTCTCAGTGGATTTGGGGTGACCCCAGAGTTTTTGGGAAGCCCCCAGGTGAATGGGCTGGAGATGGTGAGGGGTGTTTGGGGTGTCTCAGTGGGTTTGGGGTGACCCTGGGGTTTTTGGGATGCCCCCAGGTGAACGGGCTGGACACGGTGCGTGTCCCCATGGCCGTGGTGCAGTTCCTGCACCCCAAAACCAAGCGCTACCGGCACTGGGTGCAGCAGCAGCAGAAGGAGCTGCAGGCCCGCAGGGAGCAGCTCCTGTGAGATCCCCCTGACCATGGGGGTCCCAGGATGGATCTGGGGGGCTTCACTCCCCTGGGCCCTTCCCCATCTCGAGGGAACTCCGGACTGGTGTCCAGTCAGTGAAGCAGAAGCTTCTGGGACAAGAGGGAGTTTTGGGGGGCTCTGGAGTTCCTGGGAGACCCCAAACCCTGTCAAGACTCCCCCAAAAACCAGGGGGGGTCCCAGAATGGATTTGGTGGGGTTCAACCCCCCTGGAATCCCCCCTTATCACCTGTGGGGAACTCCTGGATTCTGGAGCAGCAGCTCCCTGGAAGAGAGGGAGTTTTGGGGGATTCCCAGGGGTTTCTGGAGTTCCTGTGAGAGCCCCGGAACCCCACAGGACCCC